GGGGCGCGGGGCTCTCAAGAGTGTGGACTGTTCGATTCTAGCTGTACACTGATCCTGTACTCACCCCGTGCCCGCATACAGCACAAAATGTCCCTGAATCCGAGCCCCCACAGACCCAGAGGTTCTGAGGCTCTGATCAGCCAAGGTAGCTGACCTTACATAGCTGGCTGAAGTGCCTCCTGGATGTGGGGCCATCCAGTGAGTTCCTGATGGAAGGTTGGCACTGAGTGAGGACACGATCAGGCTCGGCTGTGATGTCAGATCACACGCCAACCCTCACCGTATGTGGTCAGCCGTGAATAAATAAGACTTGTCCTGACATTCGATTCGGCGTCTTTCACGTCAGGAGGATGTCACAAAGCATCTTGCGGCAATCACTGTGAAGCATAATGACTGTATTTGGCTTGCAGCAATGTACGCTGGCCTGTGCTGACTGGAGACCAGTGGAATTATACCCCAGCACATTCTGGAGTGGATGGGAGGGAGTGAGGATAATTTTCTTTCTAAAACAAGAGATGTTAAATCCACTATCAATCCATTTTCTGCTTTGTTTTCTATGTGTGAGCTTCAAGCCACTCCCAGTTCTGGTACAGCAAGGGTTACCCGCACTTCTGTTGAAGGGAAACACCCAAACAACGTTAACCCCTTGTTGCCTCTTTCAGATGCAGATTGACCTGCTGTACTTTTCCAGTGTTTCCTGTTTTTAATTCCATTCTATTTGTCACCCGAGACACATCCTCCTTTGATTCCTTGCAAAGATTGGAACGTGGTGCCAGTCACAGCTGAATTCAGAGTGATTTTACTCTAAAATCATAGGGAATAGGATCGAGATTTTCCCCCTCCCCACCGCCCACCCTCCCCCTGTCTCAAATCTCCAGCCCCCCCCCGTCTCCCAGTTTTTCACAGAACTTAAAACTACAAATGTTAACATTTAAAAATTTTAAAGGAAAAAATCAGGTCTCAGTCTATTTGGCTCAGTTGTAAAGATAAGGTTTCTGTCAATCATCGGGGGCGGGTGGGGGGAGGGCGAGCTGTGTAAAGTTCTTTGAGACATCCGCCCAACGAGACAGCTTGCTTCACAAGTGTATTGCATAAGTGTGTTGTTCGGTTGTTATCTATGTGGTGAGCACAAACACAGACACTCTCACTTGATGGTTATTTCTTCCTCACAGCTGCTCAGGGCAATTTCCCTGCGAACGTAGAATCTAACAACTTATCAAAATGTTTCCGAAGCCCCAAGGTTAATACCGTACCTAGGCCCTGCAAAGGTTTAGAGTGACGTTTTATCTTGGAACTGCAAATTTTCCGAGGCAGTGTCGTTTGAGACAGTAAAGAGAAGTCATGCAATTAGAGAACATCAGTAACTGGGAACTTCTTTGGTTGAATTCTTTTGCTGCAGCTCAAATCCAGCAAGTGAGACGGAAAGGAATGTCAACTCACAAAACCCTCAAACAGACTGTAACATCTGGACTGCCCTTCGTTTAAAGGGATGGGATGTAAAATGATTGGCAAAAAAATGTGTGTGTGTGTGTGTGGGGGGGGGGGGGGGGTTGTGGGGGGAGGGTTGAAGAAGAGCAATGTGTCTCTGCTCCTCCTCCCTCCTCCAGTGACTGCTGACGTGCAGGGAGAGAGTTCCAAGGATGTCTCTCTCGCGCGGGAGTGAACCTTGTGATGTGGGGAGGGACACTGCAGCCGGACCCCATTGCTGTCCTCTTTCGATATTCACCCACATTCATCTTTCAGCTGGGCAATGGGGATGGGTGTGAAATCTCTGAATGATTTACCTCTCTCTAGCCCAGGGGGCTCTTATTGTCACCCCAGGAAGTTCACCTACCTCGCACAAATCAGGGACCTTCTGTCATACACCAGCCAGTGCGTTTACTTAGTGAGCCATCTGGGGGTCAAATCTCATCTCATCAACAACAACAACAACAAATTACGTTGGTAGTGCACAATGACATTCACACCCATGTCATACAGTAATAACGTTTAGCCCAGTGGCTTTGTAATTGTGAAAGATCAAAGGGAAATTGATCCCCTTCATTGAAGCTCTTACATGAACAATTTGAAGCTGGATATAAATCCAGTTGTAATACAGTGTGCAATTTCATCACGACGACAAGTCTTCACTCAAGAGTCACATCTCCAGTTGCCAACTATATCCGGAGATCAACTATATACTTTATTAAAATAATAATCTGGTCACTCGATCCATGACTGTTTGTGGGGACGCTGCTGTGCGTAATTGGCTGCCACGTTTCGCCCACAAAATACACAGTCAATCCACTTTACAATATATCCTGTGAAGCGTTTGAGACGTCTCAACGATGTGATAAGGCGCTGTATCAAAATGCAAGGATTGTTATTATTGTTATTAGTTGCCAAGCCAGAGTACCGATGCTGACGTCACGTCAACACGTTTGCTCAAATGCAAACCCGAGCTAAATTTATTCACGATGCGGAATAATCCCAGCGGGAATTGCGAAATAAACAGGATCCAGATTCGCGATTCTGGAAACTCCGAGAGAGAGAGACTGCCTCGAAGTCATAAACGTCTGCAACGACGTCAATCGATAGAAGCTTGAACGTACACAAAGAGCCACGTTTTCATAAAAGCTATAGAGTAGGCCGTCTCCAGAGGTTTTATAAAAGCATCACTCTTTGACTGCAGAGCGCCTTCCCCCCCCCTCCACCGTGAACCACGATGTAGTAGTATTCTCAGGAAATGCTGTGGGTGTGTCCCACTTCTTGTATTGTATCAGCTTATCTAACCAACGTTGGAAACAACCGCAGCGATAATAAGTTTTCTGACTTGCCATCACACAAATTTAACCACTCTGGTGCACTCAAAAGAAGCCCCTTCTATTCAGTATTAATCCTAGAATTTGATAAAGCACCTGTTTTCAAAACATCTTGAAAGCACTTCACAGGATTCACAGCAATGTTCCACAAACAGCCATAAAGTTAAAGGACCCAGGTTTATCCTGGGGATTGTTTGGCCAGGACGCTGCGAGAAACTCTCTTCTCTTTTCATGCAGTTCAATGAGATCTTTAACATCCACCTGAACAGGCAGACTGAACCTCGATTTAATGTCTCATCTGAAGGACGGCACCTCTGACAATAATAATAATAATAATAATCCTTGCATTTGATATAGCGCTTTTCACGTCGGGAGGACGTCCCAAAGCGCTTCACAGAACACACTGTAAAGTGAATTGACTGTATATTTGTGGGCGAACGCGGCAGCCAATTGCACACAGCAATGTCCCACAAAGTGCCACAATACTAAATAGTCACGTGAGCTATTAGCCCTCCAAATAGCTAAGTAACATTCAAACCAATCACGCCAAAACCACTGCTTACCCGAATTTGCGCACACATCTTAAAAAGAGCAAGGTTCTTTCAAGCACTTAAGACAGCGAATAAGGAGGTTAAAATTAGATCGGGCAGGATTGTCATTGAGTGACTCTCGTCTGTTGAGGACGGGATTAATTTTGTCTGAAATAGCCTCCCGGCCCCCTCCCCCAGCCTAACAGCCTGCTGATCCTCACCGTCTGCTTCCCACGTACGTAACAGCAGCAGCCACCAGTGCCCATGGAACCTTATCCCAGCTTGAACCTGAAACAGGAGACGGCTCCTCATTGATTGATGTCACTCGCAGTGACAAAACCCTGTGATATACGCAGCTGAGAGAGTCAAACGGTTAATACAGAGCAGCACCGAGCAAGAGAGAAGTGGGTTTGAGTCCTGATTAGTGCTGAGGGAGCAGATATATTGGTGTAAAATCAACCTTCTCTTCGATTTCATCGGCAAAGTTTAATTGACTAGTTTGATTGATGGAATAATAAATAAATCTGGTCAATCAATCCACGACTGTTTTGTGGGACACTGCTGTCGCGTTTTGCACACAAAATACACAAGTCAATCCACTTTACGCTATATTCTGTGAAGCGCTTTGAGACGTCTCAACGAAGTGAAAAGGCGCTATATCAAATGCAAAGATTATTAGTATTATTAACTGTCCTTAGTGTCTCTGGGTCAGGCAGGCAGGGAGAGAGAGGGGGAGGGAAGGTGGGAGGGGAATAAAATTCAGTCTCGACCTGCGAACAAAGGTGATCCAGTATTGTTGGAACCTGTGCATTAATAGCCATTTAAAGGTGGGTGGGGGAAGTGCTCTCTGGGCATAGCTGGGCAAAATAGCGCTGCCATCAGCTGGTTTCAACCACATCTGCAGCAAATCCCCAGCCACTCAATGGAACAATATACTCGTCAGGCAAACGTATCAACTGGCTCATTTTGGAGCACTTTAAACCAGTTCAGAGTAAACACACTGCAATCTAAATCTCCAAATCCCATTTCCCCGTCCATATCTTTTGATCACATCCTTTTAGAAGGTAAACATCAGAGAAGGGCAGACATGAGTTTTCCCCTACAGAACATAATCAATACAGCAATAATCCTTGCACTTGATACAGCGCCTTATCATGTCGTTGAGATGTCTTAAAGTGCTTCACAGAATGTACTGTAAAGTGCAGTGACCTTATATTTTGTGGGCGAAACGTGCAGTCAATTGCGTACAGCAGTGCCCCACAGACATCGTGGATATACAGTCACTACACTGTGCAACAAATCCGGTAAAGGGGTTTTGAAGAGTCCTCCTGACTTGAATGCAAGGATTATTATTATTACTGCTATTTTAATAATTATTATTATCTCTAAACTGGATCAAATGCAAATTCAATCACGGTCCCTTCAGCTCTGCCAAGCTGAGTATGGAAGTTTCTAATAATAATAATAATATTATTTATTATTGTCTATATAATAACAACAATAATAGAACGCAAATGTAATGGATTATGAAGTTTTTGTACGGATCATTTCTGCGTTGCAAATGCCCAAGAGCGACAGAGACAGAGTAAGGGAGAATCACAACTGCATTGCAAAGTGCCAGAGAGAGAGAGAGAGAGAGAGAAAGAGTGAGTTAGGGAGACCTTCCTACCTCGGAGTGGGGCAGATCGGGATCCAGTTGTGTGAAGCTACTGAGTAGCACGGGGCAGCGATTGCTACCTGCCACCTCCAGCCTGACATTGTCCCACACATTCCTCATCCGCCTCGAACTGTCAAACAGCTTGTGCCGGGCAGCCGGGCTCCCCTGCACGGCATTATGCAGCTCCGGCCACATCAGGTAAACCATAGGAAGCAGGTAACACGTGAAATAACGCCAACAAGAATCCCCCACTTCCCGTCCTCTTTAGAACAGCAGGAAAAGACCCATTGCTCCCACTGTTGCTCGCGACTCAAGGGCACCTCGTCTCGGGGAAGCCGCAGCGTATCAGCATTGCACGTTGACAAAACTGCTTCACTTAAGAGTGGGAGTCTTAAAGAGACCACGCCTGCCACTCAACGCAGCTCCCCTCCCTCTCCCCCTCCCCGCGGGCCGGGGCATGATGTCACCGCCAGGCTTCCTCTAAACACAGCACTGGATTTCCAGACAGCCGGACCAAGTTGAATACAGGAGCTCAAATTGTACCGGAGCTTTCCTTTCTGAGTCACGATAATAAATCAGAAATTCAACTGCGCTTTTGTTTTGCGGGCACCGACCAGTCTCCGAGAGATTCCCCGGGGAAATGCTGCGGAGGACTGCTTTGTGGGCAAGTGCAGTAATGTCCCCAAACACGGACATCCACCCGGTGAGTGGCCGTTCTATCTGGACGACTGCTGTCCTGGGCGCTGGACGCTGGGAGGAAGCTCCTTCTCTTTCCCAATAAGGTCGTGCCATCTTTCGCACTTTGACATCCACCCAAACAGCCAGACGGGGACCCCAGTTTAATGTCTCAACCGAAGGGTGGCATCTTCATCAATGCAGCATTGCCCCCCACCCCCGCCCCGGCAAAGCACTTGATTCTCAGCCAAGCCTCTTGAGTTTAAGTTCTGGTACCAGAGACTGTGTCCACAGTCCTCCTGGGTGCCAAGTTTCCAATTGTAGCCACCTTTCTAGAGGAAGGTTGTGGTAAGTGGCAAATCTCAGTTGCCATAGGTGTTGCTCTTGTGCAGCAACTAATGGACAGAGCAACAACGACCACAACAACAGCTTGCATTTATACAGCACCCTTCACATGGAGTAGAGTCTTGGAGTGCTTAACAGCGGCAGGCCTGACTCCGAGCCCTCACTGTGGGCAGAAAATGAGGAGGAGGAAAAATCAGCGAGTTTATTTCAATTAAAATTAAGTGTTTTTTTTCAAACTAAGTTGACAACTCTTCATAGTGCTCGTTTTCATTTACTGTTGTGTTCAGCTGCAGACTCTCCTCTTGGAACATATTTTGTTTGGAACAGTAAATGGCTGGAGACCAAAGATTACACCATGTCCCTGGCTTCTCACCACAGTCACATGCTTTCCTTTTCTGCAGATATACATTTCATCTTGAACTCCTCTTTTAAAGAGCTCCAGTTAGGCGTCAGCAGTCTCGCCTCTGAGCCGGAAGGTTGTGGATTCAATTCCCTTCCAGGTTGGGCCTATGAAATCGTACAGTCTAGGCTGACGCTCCAATGCAGTGCTGGGGGAGTGCTGTAGTATTGGAAGGTGCCATCCTTTTAATGTGGTTAAACTGAGGTCTGCCAGTTAACAACAACAACTTACATTTATATAGCCCCCTTCACGCGGGGTAACGCCCCAGAGTGCTTCGGGGCGCTACCCCATTAAGGTGGGTGTTAAACCAGTTAAGGTAGGCGTTAAACATCTGTCTGTTCAGGTGGATTTTAAAGCTCTAAGGGGTTCCCACTCATGATCCCTATCAAACTATAGTCGGGATTCCTGCACTTGGTCGCGTGTCCCGAGGAGAGAGCAATGCCACGACTTGATGTAATTGCTGACCTCATAACTGAACCTTCCTCTATTGACCAATCTAAACAATAAACCAGACACGTTAGCACAGGCAACAAAGACCCGTACGTTGCTTTGGGAGCTGGGTACCGATCAGAGCGGAGCCGGATGCCAGGGACTGGGTAGAAAATAAACCAGCCAGGATTCCCACTCCTGAACAAGATCCAGAGACTGCCCTGCTGGATGGCGCACAAGTGGGTGAGGGGTGTGGTAACTGGGGGATGACAGCGAAAATTCATGCTCGGCTAGAGTAGGAGTCACGGTCGAAAAATTGCAGCAACCCTCCCAGACCAGGTGTAGATTTTGTGAAGAGTGGCCACTTGTGCTGACAGCACAGGACAAGGCAGCACCGGAGAGAGTAAAACAAGTGCAACAGCGACCACTGCTATCACAAGCATTCCTGGCATTCAGGGAGCACGCAGCGTGACAGCTGAGTGAAGACCACAATATTTGGCAACAAGAGTCTGTATCAATACAACAGCTCATTCCAGGCCGCCTTATTCCGGGGAGGAGAAGGGTGAGTAAGGGGGTTCAGCTGCTACTTAGAACTATGCAGCAGTGAGAGAGAAAGAGAGAGAGAGCAGATGGGATCTTTAACAGGGACGTTCGTCAGCCAACTAGGAATGTGTAGGATCTGCCAGTGTTCACCATCTACCCAGGGAGTCACAGCTCTCAGTAGAGCATTAACCGGGACAATGTTTTGTGCTTCAGATAGAAGGCAAGGCACCGAATCGACTGTACTTGAAATGACTCTCATGCAATTGTAATGGATAAGGGTCGCTCTGCAGGTTTCTCTCTCATCCGTTCATCCTTAAAATAATACTTTGCACACGGCATCAATGACCTGCAGTAGTTACAACGGACGGTTTAGGGGGAAACGTTTCAATAAACCTCCTGAGAGGTTTGCACTTGTTTGTAGTTGTGGCTAGGCCACATCATCTGCAGTCCAAGTTGAAACACTGGTGAAGTATTCCCCTAAACACAAAGAGTTTATATAAAAAACAAACGAAAATCTGCCCGCAAGTTTGAGTGGGGAATTGCCACACAATGTTATGTGGAACTGAACAGGAAAGTCCCCCAAGTTCACATCCCCTTCTGTACTGAATTAGATATGTTTTTCATTTGTTTATTTTGCAACTCCCTCTGTTTAGGGGAATCCCTCACTTGTGCATCCATTTCTACTATAGTTGTTGTAGCCACAACTGCAAGTGCAAACCTCTCTGACGGCTTATCGAGACTTTTTCCCCTGAGCCATCCACTCTAAGCTCCGCACGCCCATCACACCAGTCCTCGCCAAACTTTGGAACTCTCTCCCTCAATTCCTGTGCCTTGCTGCCTCCTTCTCCATTTACAGATCACTGCCGAAGACCTTACACTTTGACCATTCTTAGGGCCACCTCCTCCCTCTCCCGGCTCGGCATCAGGCACTCTTAGCACTCCGAGACGCTACATAAATGCAAATTGCTAGTGTGGCTCTGGCTATTGTGGAAAGCGGATAATCAATGAGCCAAACACCCTTCTTCACCCAAACTTCTCATGATCTCTTGTGTAGGCAATACTGCCCCCCTTTCGGATCTCCTCCCCCGAACCCTCCCAATACACCAGCTCCACTGCTCTCATTCTGCAATGCAGTTGACACCAATTAAACCTGAACCCACTCCTCCAGATTCAGTGTGGAACAAGGGCCGAGACTCAATGGAATTACAGAATTAGAACTATAGTACCATTAGATACAATAGGATCAAAGTAGCTCAAATACATTACGAACCAGCATTACAATGGGACACTTACATTTCCTTTATAAATCCTCAGACAGCTTATAATACTCATGATTAGATCAAGGTAGCGCGAGATCAAGGTAATGCAGTGTCAGCACGTCCATATAGCTTCGGTTTGCTACAGTAGTGAAGGTCACCTTTCAGTCCCTGACAGCTGTTAAGAGCTGGCAGATAAATGGGTTTCCCATTTACGGGCCAGCCCAGCCTAGGGTCATCATAAGCTAATTCTTATTTGACAGCGTTACATCTTCAGAGTGGTGGGTTGGTGGTGAGGATATCCAAAGCACTCTTCCTCCATTCAGTAACAATAACGGCAGCTTGCACTTACACATGAAAATGAATGTCTAGACTCTTGTGCAAAATATAATCAATTGGAAGCAAAAGTGGATTTTGCTTATATAAGCAAATGCGATGGCTAATCTGTGCCGACATCAACCCATAAAGAACAGGATGAATGGAATTCTTAAGAAAGAGACATTTTTAAGGAATTAAAGCATTGAAGATGCAATCAGAACAGAGTACGGGGCAAGTGAAAGAAATCCATCGACCTTGGGGCCGCTCTGCACATTGGGGAAAGGACAAACCTTTATTGTTTGAGTTGCCGGTGTAGTACCGCAGCCAAGGACATAAATCATTAAAAATAAAAAAGGCCATTTGCTAAGTGCTGGATCTATTTTCTCCTATATAGAAATCATTTCAAATTAGTTTTGCTTTTCTCCCTCCATATCTTCCCGCTTCCTTCCGCCTCTCCTCCCCGTTCCCGGACAATAGCTGATAGTTTCACAGTAACATCTGGCATTTGTGAAGCGTGTTCAAAATCCTATACAAATGACCAGGATCTCTGTCTCTGTCGTTGCTTCCCTTCTCCTTCCCCCGTCAGTGAGTGTATTTGGCAGGCTGAACTGATGTTGGCCCCCGAAGCAGAGAGGAATTACGTTGAAACTTCAGGTTTCCATTCCGATAATTGGGATTTGTTGTTGTTGGAGGGATTGGTGAGAGTCTCGGACGGATCCCAGAAAACAATAGTTTGTGACACTTCTTCCCCTCCCGTCATTTAACTCTTGATTATACTCTTTTTCCCTCGCATAGCCTGGTGAGTCCTGCAGGCTATTCAATCACCTAACTAGTCCCAATTCAGCATTCCTGTCTCAATAGGTTCTGGCAAAACTGTGATGATTCACTTTCTGTGACAAGGAATTAGATGGGGAGAAATTCCACAAGGTTTACTATATCTGCAAAGTTTACTATAATGCAAGGATCTGTTGTTAATTATGTAGCTTTCAGAGCGTGTGTAATTCAGCAAATTCTTAAATACAGCCGAACCCACAACCTTCTGATCCAAGAGTGCTATCAACTGGGCCACGTTGATGCACAACCTCAAAATTTGGGGGGTGTCAGCTGGGTATCTGACATGCGGAAACCCATCACCACGCTTAAGAGAACTTCAAAAGATAAACTAAATCTACCCCCAATTAGAATGGCTTCCCACGGTTTCCCGCTAAACTCTTCAGACTCTGGCAATCACGGATAATTGATTCCCACTGACAGCCATCAGACCAATATCTGTTATTATGCAGCCTCCCTGGTGTGATCTGAAATCAGATTTATCCCATTACTGAGACCAATAAGCCAAGCTTCCTCTCAATGCCTCAGCTGGAAGTCCAGTTAATAATATTTCCTGCCTGCAGTGGGGTTCTCAC